TCGTCGGCATCATCACCACCACCACCATCATCATCCTCGTCCTCGTCCTCCTCCTCGTCCTCCTCGTTCTCCTTCTCCTTCTCCTCCTCCTCATCCTCCTCTTCCTCCTCCTCCTCCTCCCCCCACGGCTGTGTGCCGTCTGCCTGTCTGTCTCCTTCTCTCTCTCTCTCTCTTTCTCCCCCTCTTTCTCTGTTTTATGTATTGTGCTACTGATTGTTAAATCTCTCCGTTATGTTATTCGTTTTTCTCTTCAGCTTTTGTTTTGTTCTCTCTCTCTCTCTCTATCCCTCTGCCTCGCTCTCTTTCTCTCCTCTCTCTCCCCCCTCCTTTTGTTCCCCTGTGTTTTGCTCCTCTCCACAGGAACAACTTGCGCCTGTTTGCCCCGGCTTCATCCTCTGCCTGCTGCTGCTTTCCATCCATTGCCTCGTGGCTTAGGGGCTGGTCGCTAGCCCTGGCTGCTCTCGCAGTTGGCGATCAGGCAGACTCGGGCGCGGCGCCCGAGCCCCCAGAATCAGAACCTTCAGCACGAGCTGATATCCGAACTCTCTCCTCTCCCTGATCTATCGCTATCGTGGCTCACGTGTTGAACCTGGCAGAGGGTTGACTCAGGTAGGAGGAGATCCTCGTCCTCGTCGTGACAGGGTGGTTGAGGCTCCTTGGCCCTAATTATACCATTCCGAACGCAACGGCAGGTTTACCCCGCGCCGACGCCGCGGCGGCGCCGTTGCGCCCTTTCAAGGCTGAGCACCCTCCGGCCCAGGATCGTTGCCCGGGATCCGCAGAGAGCAGCCCGCGGCGCGCACGAATCCATGCCGACGATGGGGTCGACCATTTGCTTGGGGATTCGGCGAGGATCGCCCAGTGTTGCAGCGAAGCCCCCGGTGCGGCAGCGGCCCCGTCAAGAGTCAACGTTGGACGGGGGCGGTGGGCACGAAGGCAATCGCGCTTCGCGTTTCGCGGTCTGGGGCAGAGCAGTTACCCTCCTCCAAGATGGCAGCGCGAGAGCGCGAGGGTGCGAAGATATCCGAGCGTCGCGCATCGCCGGGCGCGATGCGCGAAGATAGATGGCCGAGGAGATCTCAAGGTTGAACGCTCCGCGCGGCTTCAGAGATCGGATAACAAGCTATTAAACAACAACTTTCGGAGGTCCGCGCGGGTTTCTTGGATCGGCGCTGGAGCTCCTTGGTGGCGCCTCCGACGCCGCCCCTGGCGCCCTCCGCGTGCCAAGGAGGGGGGTCCAGCCCAGATCCAAGAAATCCGCGCGGACTTCCTAAAGTGTATGTTTATGCAATACTCGTTCCTTCAAGAACCACTTGAACACGTAGTCAGTACTCTTTGCTTTCCGTTGCTTTTGTTGTGTGCTCGTTCCTTTTTACTATCTATTCGGTGCGTATCTTACGCATGATTTCTACCCATCACTACATACTCCCAATTCCCACATTGAACCTTCTGCTGTTGTCTGCGCTGTGCAACAGTGCTGCATTCATAACTCGTAATAGAGATATGTGGTCCCTTTGCTCTCTACGCTGTACTGTCGTCTCTCGTCACTCCTTCTGTTCGCTCTGTTTTCCCCCTTCCTCTCTCAGATACACAACTTCTCTGCTCTGCTCGTTGATTTTCTCCTCGCTTTCTCTACTTCCCGTATTCTTTCCTCTCTAGGAACCTGCGAACCTGGCCGCCGACTGGGATCGGTGGGAAAGTTTATCCAGGACTGGGGACTGGGGAGCCGGGCCGCCCACCGGAACCGGTAGCACCTTGTCCAACGCCTGGAGCCCAGGAGCCGGGGCCCGGGAACCGGGGAACCAGGCCGCTCACCGAGATCATTGTTTTGTCGACAAAGCCTCGCAGTGTCCGCGAGGGTCCCATTCAGCGCAAGCGCTGATTTGGGAGCGTCCGCGCCGTCACGGCTGCAGCCAGCCCCGCACTCCCTGGCCGCACGGGCGTTCGCGGCGCGTTTCCCCTCTCGGCCCCCGCGCCCCGAGGCCGCGTGTGCGGTCCTGCTGCAGAGGATACCAGAGGACGAGGAAGGCGTTGCGCCAGTGCACTGCTCTTGCTGATTGGTGTGAGCAAGGTGTTCGTCAGTCAGTTTGCTTCTGTTCGTCGTGTGCGTTCGTGCATGCCAGGCACGGTGGCCACAGTCATACACTTGGTTTGTTTACGTGCTTGGATTTCACGTCAAAGTACCTGTCTCTTCTCTTCAGTACCACGTCACCCCCCCGCGTTTGGGGATGACTGAGCGTGGGGCGATACTCAGCTCCACCACGTGTTCATCATTTCGCCGAGGAGGCACCCAATCTATTAATCATTATGTTACGCGTGGTCCTTTGTGCGGCCATGGTGATGGACTTTGGTTCGGCCGTTCTAACAGCATTTGACGCGGCCCTTGTGCCGAACCGCGAGTATTTGAAGATGCGCGGCGCGTGAGCAGACGAGGGGTGAACGCCAGGAGCCTGATCGAATCATGACGGCTGCCGTGCAAAGGCACCGCGACATGCCTTTGGAAGTTCGTCCAGGGCTCCGCTCATTGGCGGAAGCCAGGATGGTGCCTCGTGCAGATGTCTGAGTATGTACTTATTGAGATCATGTTGGGTGCTGCCGATCTGCCTTTGTGATCAGAAAAAAAAAAACATGCACTCTGGCAAGCATGTGTTTTGGCCTCTGAGGGATCATCCGCGGGCCGCTTTGGAGGCGTGTGGTAGCATGGTGCATGTTGGGGCTTTGCTGGGCTGGTCTTGGGATCATCTGGATCGTTCTTGCACTGGCATGAGCAATCGTGGAAGTGTTGGAGGCAGTCTCCGATAGGTTCGGCCGCTTGTCGGACGTTTGGCATGCCGTTGTAGGCCCTCACGGCTGCCTCGGCGCCGCCTCGATCGTTCAGTATTGTTCATTTTTTAGCCCAGGCCGGCCAATTTGTCCCCCGACCTCTGCGGAGGGGGTCCCGTGGTGTGTTCCCTTGGGGGGGCCTCGGGCTGGCACCCCCCAGGACGTGGCCCCGGCCACGCGGCGAACGCCGGCGGAGGACGGCGGAAGACAGCTCCACCTTCGGCGGCCGCGCTTTCGGGCGGCACGGGCGGTCCCAAATGACCCACCAGATGGTCCAAGAGGACCACGTGCCGCCGACTGAGCGGTGTACACCCCATGCGATGCTTAAGAAAACTTCAGTTTTCGGCCAGAGTCTCGATTATTCTTAATGTTTCAGTGTAAATCCTAAGATCTCGATCGAAATTCTGGGTTTTTGTTCAAATTCTGAGACTATGAATTCCTTAACCCATGATTTCTTCAGCATCTCGCATGGTGTAGACGGCCCAGGGAGCCCACAAGACGGTCCCGGAGGCCTCCAAGAGGCTCCCCGGGGGAGTTCCCAGAGTCGAAAGTCACTGGTGCTCCACGGTTCTGAAGTTTTTTGGCGTTCTCGCCTGTTCGGCTTCCCGACGCTCGAAGACGACCTAAGACGCCTCAAAGATCCCCCCAAGACGGCCTAAGAGGCCCCCAAGGCAGCGCCCAGACGGTCCAAGACGCCTTCAAGACAGCCCCAGAGGCCCAGCGGAAGACGGCGGAAAACGGCCCCATTTCGGCGGACGCGCTTTCGGGCGGCACGGGCGGCAGATGACCCGCAAGATGGTTCGAAAGGGCCACGTGCCGCCGACTGAGCGGTGGAGGCCTCCGAGAGGCTCCCTGGGAGCCGCAATAGTCAAAATTCGCTGGTTTCCCTCAGTTTTGGAAGGTCTTTCCACGGGTTCCCGTTTAGTGTTCCCCTGCGGGGGTTGGGGGATACCCCCCGGGACATGGCCCAGACCACGTGGCGAACGCCGGCGGAAGACGGCCCCATCTCGGCAGGCGCGCTTCCGTGCAGCATTGGCGGTCCCAAGATGGTCCGCAAGATGGTCCGAGAAGAGAGCCACGAGTCGCCGAAAGGCCGGTCCAAGACGCCCAAGGTGGCTTCAAGATGGCCCAAGAAGCCCCCAAGACGCCCCTGGAAGCCTCAAGAGGCCCCCAAAAGAGACCCAAGAGTCAGCATTCATTGATTTCCCTTGGGTTTTGTTTCCAAGGTTTTTCGCGTTTTCCTTTTTGTTCGGCTTCCCAACGCTCCAAGACGTTCCAAGAGGCCCTACAGGTCGCCCCAAGACGACCTGAGAAGCCCCCAAGAGAGCGCACAGACGGCCTAAGACGCCTCCAAGACGGCCGAAGAGGTCTCCACGACGGCTTAAGCAAGCCCCAGGAACGCCCCAGGAGGGGCCTCGGAGGGGGAGCACGGACCGGCATTTTGGGTTCTCCGTCCAAGAAGTTCGCCACGAGGCCCCAGTAGGCCCCCAAAAGGCCCCAAGAAGCTTCCAAGAGGTCCCCAGACCTCAGAGACCCCCGAGAGGGCCCCAAGTCTGCTAAAGACGGCCCCGAGATGGTCGTCGGAGACGCCCCAGAGCCCGAAGGCTGCCCAACAGGGCTCCAAGATGGTCGGAGACGCCCCGACAAAGTGGCACAGCGTCAAACGGACAACACGGGAAACAGCATAATGCGCCGTCAAGCGGCACAGCGTCAAACGGACAACACGGGAATCAGCATGATGCACCCTATAGGTATTATCTTCTTTGTTTTTCTCTTCCTCGCAAGTGACGCCCACTTGTCCTCCAAGGTCGTTGTTCGTGGCTAGATCAGGTTTAGCAGAGCTGATCTAATTATTTACTTCCCCAAACAGCTTGCTGAACGGGGTGCTGTTGTGGTAGAAGCTAGTTCCAGCCGGCATCCTCAACAAATATGGTGGTCCGGGCCGTTTCGCTTGAGACATCCTTACAACTCTCGTTTCTGAGTTGGCGGGGGGCTGTTTCGTTTGAGACATCCTCGACAATCTGGCCTCTGGGACGCCGCGCGCGAATTGGTCTGGCCCGTTTCGCTTGAGACATCCTCGAATTTTAAGCTCCGAGATGATGCGCGCGAGGTGGTCCGGCCCGTTTTGCCTGAGACATCTTCGAAACTCGGGGCTCAGAGATACCGCGCGCGAGGTGGTCCAGTCCGTTCCGCATAAGGCATCCTCGCATCTCGGGGCTCCGAGATGGCCCGCGCGAGGTGGTCCAGCCCGTTTCGCATCAGGCATCCTCGCAACTCGGATCTCCGAGCTGCCGCGCGAGATATGGTCTGGCCCGTTTCGCATGGGACAACCTCGCAACTCTGAGCTCTGAGGTGCCGCGCCCGAGGTGGTCAAGCCTGTTTCGCCTGAGACATCCTCGCAACTCTGGGCGCCGATATGCCGCGCGAGAGGTGGTCCGGCCCGTTTCGTCTGAGACATTCCCCCAGCTCGGGACTCAGAGATGCTGCGCGCGAGTTAGTCTGGCCCGTTTCGCTTGAGACATTCTCCAAACTCTGGGCCCCGATATGCAGCGCGAGAGGTGGTCTGACCCGTTTTGCTTCAGATATCGTCGATATTTTGAGCTCCGAAATGCCGCTCGCGAGGTGGTCTGGCGCATTTCGCTTGAGACATCTTCGCAACTCAGAGCTCCGAGACTCCGTTCAGGAGGAAGAGGTGGAGGAGGAGCAAGAGGACTAGGAGGAAACGGGAGGGAGGAGGAAGAGGAGGAGGAGGAGGGTGATGAGGGAGTAGGCAGGATGAGGAGGAGGAGGAGGAGGAGGAGGAGGAGGATGAGGAGGGAGGAGGAAGGGAGTTGCATGAGAGGACCCTTCGGAAAGCGAGAGGTAGAACGGCTCGTTTCGCTTGGGACATCTTTCAAATGCTGAGCTCCGACATGCTGCTCCCGAGGTTGTCCAGCCCGTTACTGTCGAGCCATCCTTACGATCCGAAGCTCCGAGATGCCGCCATGCGCACCCTGCCTTCCGCCCTTCTCAGACATCCGACGTCACGATTTTTGTTTCGAGACGTGGGAGGAGGGAGGGGGGAGGGGGGAGGAGTACGAGACCCTCAACCGATGGCTTCCTGAGAGCCATGCATCACACAAGCTTTTGTGCGAACCGCATTTTTTGTTTATATAAACATGTTATCATGCTCAACATTGTCATGCCAGACCGCACTGGACGGGGAGGCAATCGACGTTGTAAACCCTCAAGGATTTGAAAATCCCGTGTGGGGATGCTGTACTCTTGCCATGATTTCAGCTTAGCGTAGCGTGGATCAATTCATCATCGCCGTGGCCGTTTAGTTATCTTAAGGGCTTCATCTCCAGCCGCTGCCACCTCTTTTCTTACATGCTCGTGGCTACATGGCACTTTGATGGGAACTGCTTGTGGCATTCCTCGAGGAAGATGTGAGGATTAGTCTAACCATCACGTGCCAGCGTGGAGTTAGCATCGTCGGGCACTAATGTCAGCTTGGTGACCCCCCCGGGGCTGATGAATAGACCCCGCTGGGCGCGATACTTTTATTAATCACGCGCGCCAGGGGGGAGGAGGAGAGAGGAGGGGGAGGGGGAAGAAAGAGGAGAAGGAGGAGGAGGAGGAGGAGGAGGACGAGGAGGAGGAGGGGGAGGAGGAGGAGGGGGAGGAGGAGGAGGAGGAGCAGGATGGTCCTCGACGCATGGCCGCTTTCGGCGCCAGGAGGCGCTTGGAACATCGGCGACGTGAGCTGCTTGGCAAATCCCCCCTTTGCTGCGCCCCACTTTCGTCCAGCCCGCCTTGCCCGCAGGCCAGCATCGGTTCGACAGAAAGAGGGGCGCCCTGGCTCGCTTTCGCCGGTGGCCGGCCGGGCGTCGGCGCCGCCCCGTTGATTTTCAATTTGGCGGGCGCCGCCTCGCGATTCGCCCGAACAGTGTTTTTGTTGTTCTTCTTCAAAAAGCGAGAAACTACGGAACAAAACAAACGCGCCCCCCACGGATTTGGTAAATACGAGTTGACACTACTGGGGGGTATGCTGGCGCAGCGGCTGGTGGCAGCTTGGGCCTCGCGGGGGGTCGTCTTGGGGCTCGCTGTGCGTGCCCTGTGGCTTTCGGAGAGCCTGGGGAGCCTTGGGGAGGCCCTGGCTGGCCCTGATACGTCCCAAGAGACCCGATGAGATCCTGAGAGGCTCTAGGAGGTGTGGTGAGGCCTTGGGGGGCTCTGGAAAGCCTTTGGAGGCTCTCGGAGGCTATCTATGGATCTGGCGAGACACTGGAAGCCATTGGAGGGCGAACAATAACACACGCGTCGGTCTGCCACGAGGTACGGTGGCGGATCTTTGGCGTTAGCTTTGGGTCCACATTTCCGGACGTACAGACTTAGTGTTGGTTCTTACCAGCTGCGCATCGCGATTTATGTAGTTGCAATTGTTTACGCGATTCGCCTCTTAACGCTGGCATGCAGTTACATTGATCTGGCGTTTACTATCGTGGTCCAGCCTGGGTTGTCTGGTATTGTTACCAATTCGGCGTATCCAGGCTTGGACGAATTTAGTTCATCGTACGTTATTTGCTTCGCTTGGGGTATAATAGCGCAACGTTGCTATGCTAGCCGTAAGGTTATTTCTCCTGGTTCATTGTGGCATGCCTTGTCTCCACCTGCTGCATACTTGAGATGGCGCCGTCATTTCGATCGCAGGAACTGTGCCTGCCCGTGTCACGGGCACCATCATGCTAATCGCCACACTTCCCAACGCCATTGCTGCTAGCTCATCTGCCCTTCCGAATTATCGGAGTCAGCGCTGCCGGTTCAAATTTGTCAGATTCTAACGACCACGTACTCAATAATGTAAACGCAAACCGCAGGCCCCATCATTAGCATCTGCTGCCAGGGCGGCGGCCTGCACAGGACGTATCTTGTGGAGCAGGTCGCCCGATGCCATGCGCAATAAAAAACACTCGTGTCCAGTACTTCATCTGTGTCTTGGGGTGGAGCCGCCCTATGTCGCACGTGACGCGCGGACACTGTGTGCGCGATGTGATGCGATGGAAACCGACAGCCCGAAGGACTACGACGATCGACGCGTTCACTTGTGCGGGACTGCGCTGACATTCAGCGGTTGCAACGCCGCTTTCGGCACCCCGAACGCGCCCTCGATGACTGGCGTGCCGATCTTAACCAGGCCCTGATCAGCGAACTGGGCCTGATCTGGCGGATCGCGGATATTGCCTAAGTGTTGTTTGTTTATTCTCCGTGTTTTGGTAGGGGTTGTTCTCCACACAATTTGCATTCTGATGTTTTTTGGTTTGGCATCTGATCAGAACTTCGTTCATATCCTGCAATGCACCTACATGGATCTCTGGGATTACATATCAGCGGTCTCCATGTGGCTCCCGCTTGTTACCGGGCGGTTTTGCAACAAGTGCCGATCGATTGTTTCGGGCGTTCTCTCCTTCGCCACGTCTGAGGTTGCCAGGGATGATTTTGACCCAGAGTGTCCCCAGCCTTCCGCGCAATTTTGGCCCCTGGCCAAGCCCATCCTGAACCCAGGAGCTGTGTATACGCCCTCCTTGCAAGGCCAGGAGGGCGTAGAGTATACACCGCTGCTGGGTTCAGGATGGGCCTGGTAAGGGAGCAGTGGATATGTACAGATCTCGTCGCCCTACGATTCGACCCAGCTTACAGATGGGGCGGGGCAGGAGCTAGAGCGGCAGGAGCCCCAGGGACGCGGGCCCCACTTGGCCTGGAGGCGGCCAGGGCGTCTGCACTGGATGGGCCCTGAAGGAATCGGTCAAGAGGGGGGGGATTCTAAGCCGGGGTGGGCCAGAGTAGATGCAGTAGTGCCTGCAGTGGTTTTTGCACGGATGCAGTCGTTTGCGGTTGGGGTGTTATAGTTGCGCGTGGATGCGGTCGTGTGTTCTTTGAATCGCAATCGTTTACGCCCCTTGCAGTAGTCCGTGCCCCCCGAGCAATAGTTCGCACATGAGTTCGAATACTATTTTGCGCAATAGTTCGCTCAAGCGAACCATTGCACCTCCCTCCGCCCCCCCATCGGCGCTGCACCCTTCGCTACAGTCTGAAAAGAGGGGGGGGATGGGGCCACACGGGCTCAAAATCTGTCCCTGGACCTCTCTCGGGGTCCAAACGCACCAGTCTGCCGAGCCGCGTCCAGCCGTGGCGACGAGAAGCTCCCAGGAGGTGCAGAAAGGACGAACCATGCCCTCTTCCCTGCCTGCCGGCCGGAACTGGTGCCCACCTGAAACCCCCAGCCGGCTCCAAGCCCCGATCTTGGGAGCAGGCGCTGCAGGATCAGGAGCTGCAGGATCCGGGGCTGCCCTGGTGCCGGGACGGGGCGTGGCCCGCAGGCCGGCGCCCGGTGCGAGGAGGGCGCCACGGCGTGTAGGGCGCGCGCGGGCCCCCGCCCGAGGCGCTCGCCAAGGCGAGCCGGGACGCGAGGAGCGCGGGGTGGGACCGCCCTCGGCCGCCTCGCCGTCGTCCTCGGCCTCTCATCGAGGACGGAAGAGCCCCAAGTCCGAATGATGTAGTGAAGACGTAGCCTAAGTCAGGTCCTGGCCTTTGCATTCGGTCTGGTGCATCTGCAGAGAAGACCCCCCTATATCCCTAATTGCTTGGGCCTCTTAGCTTAAGACCGCGCTCAACGGGTTAGGGGTCCTTTTCTTGGTGATCGTCCTCGCCGTCCAGCGTCTCGAACCAATTGAGGCGGCCGCCGTTTCGCCATGCTGGCCCTGTGGGTGCCAGCCCGGGGCCGCCGGCAGGACGGCTCTGGGGACGAGAGGCCGGCCTTGGGGAAGAGGTGGGGAGGTCCGGGGGCGTGCGTGTGTCTCGAAGAGATCGTTCCGCCAGCACCCACGAAGGCAAGCTGCAGGTGGTGTGTGTTGAAGCCCACCTTGCCAACTGCGGAGGTGGCCAGGCGGGTGGGGTGGGGCTCTCTGGATCAGGGGACTTTCTGTCCCGCCAGAGGGTCCCCTTGAAGAGGTGTGAAGTGAATTCTAGACGCTTCGCGTATCCCCACCAGCCCGTCCAGAAACGACGCCCAGGCGAGTAGAGGGTCGTCCTGAGGGGCTTTTCGGCGTCTTGGGTGCCTCGGGGGGGCCTCTGTGGGCCGTTCGGAATCCTCTTTGGGGCCTCCTGGGGGCCTCTTGGGGCCTCTTGGGGCCATCTTGGGGCCTCTGGGAGCACCTTGGGTGCCTCTGGGGGGTCTCTTGGGGCCTCTTGGGGGTCTCTTGGGGGCCTCCTGGGGGCCTCTTGGGGGGCCTCTTGGGGCCATCTTGGGGCCATCCTGCGGCCTCTTGGGGCATCCTGGGGGCCTCTTGCGGCCATCGTGGAGGAAATCGATCAAAGAAGAGGGGTTCCTAAATTTCAGCCCCCCCCTCAGGAGCCACGATCCTCGTGAGGGGTGTTGAATTTTAGCCCTCCCAGGGGTCGTTCTTGGACGCTCTAACTACCCGCGGACCCCCTGTCCAGGTCAGTGGGGAGGGGGTAGGGGGAGGGGTAAACCCCTCCCCGAAGGGGAAGAGGGAGGGGTGGAAGAGGAAACTCGTTAAACCACCGACGCCCAGAGGGCTGGTGGGACTTCGGTTGCGCCTCAGATTGTAGCGCAGGGGGAGGAGAAGAAGGAGGAATAGGAGGATGAGGAGGTGGAGGAGGAGGAGGAGGGAGCGTCCGAAACTCGCCCCCCCCTGCTTTAGGGGAGGTCTATTTTTGGCCTTTCTGTTAGGTCACCGGCGGTTTTCAAGCCTCGGGATGCCTTTCTGCAGCTGCGCTTCGACGAGGGCGCTCTGGGGGTGCCCCGGCGGCGAGAATGAGAGATGCATGATTCTTCCCCCTCAGCTGCAGTGGCTGCGGCGGCTGCGGAACTCTGGTGTCTTAGTTTCTGTTACGCGCTGTGACTCGCATGGTGCCGACACACGTGCCTCTTGCGATTTGGGGCTGCTTCAATGTATCACGATTGGCTCCAACGTTATTATTGTTGCGTGATGTTTGTATGTATGTATATATATATATACATATGCAAATGTAGATTCGCCTGCGTGAGCCCAGACACTGTGCTTCTATCAATACATGTCGTGCAATACATGTGGCGCAATATATGTGGTGCAGCCAGCGTGGTTCAACGTAGCTTGTGCAATACATGTGTTGCAATCTAGGTTGTACAATATATGCGGTGCAACCTGTGTAGTTACACATCCGTGGTGCGATTAATGGTGTGCACCCTATGTCGTGCAGTAATTATTGTGAACTCCTGTGTCTTGCAGGCAATGCAATGCAAGCCGCCGCAAGTCGATTCCAAGTAACGCAATGCAGTGCAAAACAATGCAAAACAATGCAACACAACTGGAAACCATACATACACACATATCTACATATATGTATAAGTGGTGCGATGCAGCGGCGGTGGCGAGAGGCGACGGCGGCGACGGGGCGGCGGTTGCGGCGACATAGCCACCAGACCAGCCGTCAGGCCCAGATGACGGGCGGCGACGAGGCGGCGACGGGGCGGCGAAGGCGGCGACATAGCCGCCAGACTGGTCGCCAGGCCCGGCTCCTTACAAACGCAGTAAGGAGATGTAAGTGCAAGTGCTGCTTGAGGAACCTGCGGTCGATCATATGATTGAGAGACCTCCTCCCGAAAAGCTTTGCCAGCGCTTTTTTTTACCAACCTGGCGGAAATCTGGCCCAGTTTCTCAAGTACGTTCGACATTCCAGCGCCGACAAGAAGAAAGTTGGCCCACGCTTGTTTGAGAGAAACTTCAGAGCTGGCCCAGGATTCGTGAATCACAATTTTCGTAATCATGCTATCGATTGTGATGATAGGAGCGTCGGACTGACATTGAGTGGCGACCCCCCTGGCATCGCCCGGCCGGGCTGGCGCCCCCCGCCGGCGCAGCGCCCCCTGGCCCGAGGGTGGTTGGGCGCGGGGGCGCGCGACCAGCCATGATCGTGGCAGCGGCTACGCGGACAGTTGTGCCACTGTGTTGCTTGTGCGTGATGCTCGCCATGATCGGAGGCAGAGGTTGACACCACCACCAACATCGGCGGCGTGCCTCCGGATCCCAACGATGCGGCAATATATTTGGGCTCCCTGGGTGGCCGAAGTGTGACCGCCAACGCCAAGATCTAGGGTCACCTTCCCCCTGTGGAGGCACCCCCCCGTGTTGGTGTTGGTGCCGATTTCCAGGCCTCACACATGAAGCCAGCGGGCCCGGGGGGGAAAGGGGTCCTGAGCCGTCTCGCCGTTTCCGAGCTCCCAGGGCCCAAGGGCTCCAGGACCGTCCAGAGACGACCCCGGATGAAGAGCCGACCCTGCGCAGCGCGAAGCGCGAAGCGCGAAATCCGGAGCCGTTGCTCCGTGTCCATGTCCATAGCACGTCCTCTTCAGGAGGAGGAGGAGGAGGAGGAGGAGGAGGAGGAGGAGGGGGAGGAGGAGGGGGAGGAGGGGGAGGGGGGGAGGGAGGAGGGAGGGGGGAGGAGGGAGGGGGGGGGAGGAGGGGGGAGGAGGGAGGAGGACCCCTCGCCTGCGTGCCAGGACGTTTTCCGCTGGCTTGCGGCAGCCGCCCCGTGGGCAGCCGCTCGCTCGCCTTCCCCCTGCCGGCCCCCCTGGGGGCCGCTGCCGCGCCCGCGGGCCCCCGAGGATGGACCTCCAGCTCCTGGACGTGGTCGAGGCGGCTGTCTAGCTGTGAGCCTGGCTGTCTCTCGTAGTCTGCTCTCTCCTCCTCCTCCTCCTCCTCCTCCTCCGCCTCCTCCTCCTCTTCCTCCTCCTCCTCCGCCCTCCTCCTCTTTTGCCTCCGCAGGCCGCGCCGCCTCCCTCCTCCTCCTCCTCCTCCTCCTCCTCCTCCTCTGCTGTTTGGCCTTGACCCAGCTTTGCAATTGCGATCGTGGCCGGGGCGGTTCGGAGCAGACGGGGCTGGCAGCTGTATCAGATGATGAGGAGGAGGACCAGTGTAAACCCAAGAGTCACCAACGATGTTAGAACTACCCTCCTTCCAAGCTCCCTCTCCACAGGCCCCCACAAGGATTCATTCCCGCTGAGGTAACTGCCTCGTTCGACGACAGCCGTTTGAAAACCTGAAGCATGCCAAAACATTGTTCTCGGGACTCCGACGCCACGGATCAACCTGACTGTTGCGTCTTGACGATCCCGAGTCGTGCCGGAAAGCAATTCCTGGGACTTCAACACCGCGAATCATCGTAGCTCCTGCAGCCTCATAATCTTGAATTTTTCCACAGCGCCATTTCCGGTAATTACGTAGACAGTGGGAATCCGTGAAACTCTTGCTATTCTAAAGAAGGAATGTGCGCGGCGCTAAGTCGAGAGCCACATTTTGAAAAGGAACCACTCAATCTGTGAAGCTCTTGCGAATCTTTAAAACGAATGTGCGCGGCGCTGAGACGCCTCATTTTGAAAACCACCCGCCCTCCATCTGTGAGGCTCTTGCACATTTTGCCCCGACCTTGCGGAGGGGTTCCCGTTAAGTGTTCCCCTGGGGGTGTCTGGGGGGTATCTCCCGGGACATGGCCCCGGCCACGTGGCGAACGCCGGCGGAAGCCGGCGGAAGACGGCCCCATTTCGGCAGATGCGTTAAAGACGCGAGTGGTCCGCAAGATGGTCCAAGAGAGCCACGAGCCGCCAACAGGTCAATCCAGACCGTCCAAGATGGCCTCCAGACGGCCCAGGAAGCCCCCAAGACGCCCCGGGAGGCCTCCAAGAGGGCCCCCACTGAGAGCCCCGAGAGACAATAATCATTTACAGGCTTACCTTCTACTCAGAGCCAGTCTGGGGAGGGGTTGAAAACCCTTGAGGGGGGCAGGCGGAGCTGAGCCCGAGAGGGCTAGCAAATGCTACAAACACGTGTCGCTTTCTCACCACCGCGCCGAGTGGAAGGGGCTCTCAACCCCAGATGTCTTCGAGAAAACGCCAGAATCCTTGTGCTAGCTTCCTGAGCGTACAGCCGGAGTCCGAGGACACCTGAGCGTACAGCCGGAGTCCGAGGACGAACACATGTTCGACCCCTCCCAGCCGACCCCACAGGGCCCCTGGCCAGAGGCCTTGTCAAAGTCCTGCCGAGCGCGGGCACGGACGGGCGGGAGGGAAGCGAGGCAGGAACAGCTTGGTAAGACCACGGCCTCCCCCCCCAAGGACCCCCCCGTTTCCAGAGTGGCTCTCAGTCTCTGCGCGGAGCCGTGCATGCGCACGGGCGTCTCACGCTCACGGCCGCGCGCCAGCGCCCTGATGGGGCGCACGCCGAGCGGCGTGCCAGCGCCAGGGCCCCGCACGAGGGCATCGTGCACGGCCTGCCGCGGGCGGCGCCGACAGGCGCAGCCCTGCTTGATCTGCTCGCCGTCGAGCTCGCTGAGCTTCTCCACCAGCACATGGCACTTGGTGTGCCGCTGGAGGCCCGCGGTGGATGCCCAGCGCCCTCGGCGCCGCGCCGCCTCCAGGTCGCCGCTCAGCGCCACGAAGCGCGCCGCCGCGGCGTGCCGCATCCCGTGTGGCGGCCCCATCTTCTCGAGGCCGACGTCCTTCAGCGTCTTCATCCAGACCTTGCGGAAGCTCGGCTGGGTAAACGGGAAGACTTGGTCGTCGGGCTCGCGGTCCTTGACCAGGACCTTAAGCAGGAGCCTCGAGATCGGCCACTCCAGCACCGCGCCCTGGTTGGCGCCCGTCTTGGTCTTCTGGCCTCTCATGCGGTCGCCCATCTTGAGGCCCACGCCGCCGTCGGGAGTGAAGCTGACATGCTTGACCCGCAGCATCTCCCAGTTCTGCTCCCGCAGCCACCCGTCCAGCTGGACGATGCAGGCGCAGCCCTCCAGCAGGTGGCCCGTCTCCAGCATCCTCATGATGATCACACCCATCTCCTGGAACGGGATCGGGTGCCCCTCGCGCCCGTACTGCATGCGCTTCCACGACTTCAGCGCCCGATGCGCTGTGGGGGGCTTTCCTCGATGGTCCCCGAAGATGTGCGTGAACCCGTTGAAGGCGAGCGAGGCCTTCATGTAGTTGTCACCCCGCAGGTAGCAGAGGTCGCTGATGTAGTTGCCGAGGGCGCGGTCCCTCTGCTCCAGCGTCATGAAGGGGACCCCCCCGCGCTTGCAGTCGACGAGGACGGCCCTGACCTCCCGCTCGTAGACGACGTTGGTCGAGTCGTTGAGGAGGAGGAGGAGGAGGAGGGGGAGGAGGAGGAGGAGGGGAGGAGGGAGGAGGAGGAGGAGGAGGAGGAGGAGGAGGAGGAGGAGGAGGAGGAGGAGGAGGAGGAGGAGGAGAGGAGCGAGGAGGGAGGAGGAGGAGGAGGAGGAGGAGGAGGAGGAGGAGGAGGAGGAGGAGGAGGAGGAGGAGGAGGAGGAGGAGGAGGAGGAGGAGGTGAGGGAGGAGGAGGAGGAGGAGGGGAGGAGGAGGAGGAGGGAGGAGGAGGAGGAGGAGGAGGAGAGGAGGAGGGAGGAGGAGGAGCGAGGAGGAGGAGGAGGAAGGAGGAGGAGGAGGAGGAGGAGGAGGAGGAGGAGGAGGAGGAGGAGGAGGGGAGGAGGAGGAGGAGGAGGAGGAGGAGGAGGAGGAGGAGGAGGAGGAGGAGGAGGAGGAGTGGACCACCGGGCGGTTGTTCCAGCGCGGGCGGTCCAGCTCGGCTTGCTGCCAGGCCCGCGCCCCCCGCGCTTCTGCGGCGGGGGGGGGGCGGACGCTCCGCGCCGCGCTCCGCGTGCCACGTGGAGCGCCGTCACCAGTGCGACCCAGAAGGGCGACCTGCAGCTGCGTCTCGCAGTCGACGCAGCTCCCGAGGCGGTAGCAGCAGCGGTCCACGTCGCCGAGGCAGACGCCCGCAGCCGCCGCGTTCTCGCTCGGGAGGCGCGAGCCTCCCTGCCGAGAGGGTAGTCGAGCTGCAGGCGCGCCGCCAAGGTCCCGCAGATCACCGCCTCCGTTCCAGCACCTCCAGGAGCGGCCGCACCGCCTTCGGCGTCGTCCTCATCCTGTGGGCCTCCTTGGTCTCGTCCGCCGCCCCGATGTCGACGCCCCTGCTCGGCCCGTCCGCCATGTTCCACTGGCTGGGGGCCCACCGACAGTAGCCCCTGATGCCCGGCGCCAGCGAGATGCCACAGGACAACCGCGCCAGTCTCAGGGGGGCCGTCGCCGATGAGCGACCCTGCTGCAGCGCGCCCACGGAGACCACCGAGTCCGTCATATCACGACACGCTTGTTCCAGCATCTCGAGGATCTCGCCAAATGCCGAAGCGCGCTGATCACGCACCTCAGCTCCAGCACGTTGTTGTGCTCCTCCGCCTCCCAGCGTCCTCTGAAGAGCTCGTGCCACCTCGACTCGTTGACCCAGGGGGCGCCGATCGGCATCACCTGCCCCCTGCTCCGCACCACCCGAGGTCGTCCTCGTCGAAGCCGCTCCTGCGCCCCCCTCGGTACCTCGTCCCAGGCGTAGTCGAGCTGCTCGAGCTTCGCGGCGTAGCGGTCCACGAAGTCGCCCCCGCAGTTGACCGCGACGCCCGCGACCAGCGCGAAGTCGTCCCACAGCCCGTCGCTCTCCACGAGCGTCGCCAGGTTGGTCAGCACCAGCAGCTCCCCCACCTCCAGCAAGAAGACGCCCTCCGAGGCGGCGAGCCTGTCCCAGGGGGGCCACTCCAGCACGTTCAGCGCGACGGGCCCCATGATGACGAAGCCCAGCCCCCTCGCGGACGGCGAGCCTGGCGATCTCGACGGTCACCTGCGCGATGAAATTGTCCTGGTCGATCTTGTGCTGCATCCTGTCGCTGCCCCTCGTAGCCCCCGGGCGCGCGCGCGCGTTCCGATAGTAGTCGTCCGAGAAGGTGTCCAAGAACATGGTGAGGTGGCAGATCCAATGCCCACGCCTCCTCAGACGGCTGAAGAGGCGCTCCACCATCATCGCGTCCAGCAACTCCTCCACCCTCACGTCCTCTATCCAAGCGTACCTGGTGCCCGAGTTCCCCTTTCAGATCCAGCAAACCCTGCTGCAGCGCAAGTGTACCAGGCCGACCTTCGCGCGGGTGCATCATCTCGTCCTCCTCCAGGCCCGCTTTGCTCGCCTCCTCCTCTATCTCCGTGTGCGTCTCCCCAACGCGAATCTGCCACGCCTGCTCGGCCCCACGGTCCAGCTCGTCCCTGATCTCCTCCACGCTCGACTTCGTCGCCACCGCACCGAATCCCTCGTCGCTCGCATCGGTCATGTAGACCGTCGTGTGCCAGTCCAACTCCAGGTCCGCCTCGCAGAAGATGGCCAGCGACGCCAGAGCCCTCAGCTCGTCCAACACGGCGACGGGAAGACGCCGCAGCTTCTCGGCGCCCTCGTCCGCGAAGTTGCCGACCCACCGATAGCAGGCGCCCAGGGTCGCACAGGCTGGTCTGCAGACCAACATCGCCCACTCCCAGCAGCCCACCACCGCAGTCAGCTCCCGCGGTCGCACGGACTGAGTCACCGCAATCGCCTCGGTGCAGATGATCAGGTCCTTCATCTTCTCGGGGCAGATCTTCAGCGTGTAGGGGCGCCCCGGTATAGTAAGTCCTGGCCCTCCCCGAAGTCCTTCCCCCGCCTCTTCTTTGTGCACTGCGAGGCCCCTCGGATTCAAGAAGCTCCGCACGTGGCCCTTGGTCACCTCGAGCTCCACATCCTCCCCATCTTCACGAGCTTCAGACCTATGTAGTCGTCGA